TTTTAATGCATAAAATGGCCGCTGGTAAAATAATCAATAATTTACGCGCTTGCGCTAAGTATTACATCAGAAATTAATCTTGATTGGAGCAACAATATTCCTGTGACGTAGACATTTCAGTGTAAATAAACAGATCCATGTGCTTGACACAATTCGTGATTTTGCATAACAAAATAAATAAAATAAAAGATATTTTAAGGAATATTTTAGTGAACAAAGTTAGGCCTAACTTACCAGAATTGGAATTTGTCCCAAACTCAATTGAGTTGGCGATCCCGGAAAACGACGGGGTATCGTCATTTATTTCACACAACTTTTGCGATATGTCAGACAAAGGCGGCGGGGCTGATCCACCCCCGGTCTTAAATAGTTCTTTCTTTCTTATGTTTGAAGCAATCTTTGCAGCCGATACTGACTTTCTGTACTTCTCTTTCAACTGGCTAACACTGCGAGGCGCCCCACCCCTCGCATTTACCGCATCTGTGATTTTTTGCCAAACTTGTTGCTTTCTTTTGTTAGTAATGAAATTGGTTTGTTTAGAATTAATTATGTCAATATTTTTTTCCACTTCGTCACACAAAAATGCTAGTGTGGCAGAATCAAAATTTTCAGACCGTTCTCTCTTTATTTTTAATATACAGTCGGGTTTAATGTCGGCCATTTTGTTTTTGTAAAGCAGACGGACTTATCCAGCCCTGTTGCATTGTGGTACTTAACCAGCGGATAAATACGTTATCCACTGGTTAGGTAGCCAGGGCACTATCCAACTGTCGAACAATGAAATTTTATCCACTGGATAGCTGGCCGCTGGATAAGGATTTAACCAGTGGATAAGTTATCCAGTGGTTAATTTTAACCAATGTTTTGAACAACCCGGTCCAGATATTTGTAAACATAATATTAGAAAAAAGGCTTAAATTATTTACATTCGGACTATGTCAGTTTGTATAAGAACGTAAAATTTAATGATAAATAGTTTGATTAAGGTAATAAATAGATAATGTCAAAAAGAAGTATCTTCAGAAAGAGATATGTGAAACAGGTGTTTCATACCTCATACATCCAATTTCATAAAGCTTGTTTACCTTAAGGTTGTTTTCGTTAACGTAATTTATGGCATAATTTGTATAAACGAAGTATGTGTTTGGTTTCGGTTGTCTCAAACGATGAACATTCGTTTCATTCACTGTCTTTGGTAAGCTTTTGTTTTATTTAAGATTGCACTTGAAGGAGACAAATTATCGACGTCCGAAATAGTTGAAAGTTTATCCTCTGACTACAGTTACGGAAGTTTTACAGGACTAAACATGATGGACGGAAAATACACTGTATCAGTAACTGGTATTAATGAAGTTAAAATGTACAGCCAGAAAACATCAGACAATTTTGATTTAGTCACTGTCCCACCAAGTCTAACAGGTTAGTGTCTTACCATTTGTAAATAAGCGTACATTTGTACAAGATTTTTAGAGATATAACGTAGAATGTATTAATGTACAAAATTATATTCATACATATACCTGCTTAATAATTGCCCAATCTTACATTGAATTTCTTGTACAGGCAGAATATATTTTTTCTTTTCATAAGGTGATATATATGTCTTAGAATTTTATTTTCAAATACCAAATACATACAACAAACACGTGGCTACTTAAACTCTTAGATATAAAATTTGTGATTCGAAACTAAAACGTATCATCAAATTTAAGGATCACCTATTAAGACAAAATGGGTAAAGGCGACATCAACTGCTACAGCATCTTGGGAAAATGTGTTTGCATCAAATGACCCACTATACTATGAAGTGTCGGCAAGGTTGTCAGAAGGTGGCGAGGGAGATCTCGTGCAGTGGCAGGAAACAGTGGATACAAAGATTGAAATTGTTCTGGATACAAAGGAAATGACAACTGCAGGAGTAACCGTTCGTTTTTCGGTCACTGCAATATCGCATGTAGGACTGTTTACAATTGCCCATGGAGACCTGTTCGTTATACCATAAGTAGCAAAGTGACTTTATAAATATGTGTATTAAATCAGATTTCCATAATTGATAAAACATTTTGCAGTATTTCTTGTTTGACAAAATGTAACAAATAGATTATTATAAATTACCGATATAGTTTTCTTATTTGCAAGTTTTGTATGAATATTTCAGAAATCCGAAACATATTGCTTTCCTTAAAATTTACTACAAAGGGTTAACAGCTTGCAAAATTCAGCAAGAAGATCCAATTACGCGTGACTCAAATAATTTTTAAAATGCAGGACTTAATTCTTTAATATACATTTCTGTCATACTATATTTTGAATAAAGGTTTTTTTATTATTCTGTGTTTTGATATTTTAACCAGAAAAGCATGCACATTTGGTTTTAGGGGACGGATAAGAAATTGATAAACATTTCACACAAGAGAATGTGCAGGCTCATAATTATAATCCGGCAAACGTTTAAAGGATTAAAACGAGTTGTATACGTACTTAAGGTATTAGGACCCTAATGGGCACTATCAGGAACTAAAGAATTGACATCATAGGTCAGATGTATACCTTAAAGTACACCTGTATGCAAAATTTAAACAAAGTTTACCGTACGGAAATCAAGTTATGGCCACTTTTCTGAGCTCAAGCTAGGATGTTATGAGGGCCCTTTTTTAGAAATGAGGAACCTTTAAATAATCTGCAATAACATTCTAATGAAAATTGTTTTCCCATGAATTTTTGGTAAGAAACAAAAAGTACCATTCAGCTAACAATCCACATAAGCAAAATTATGGTTATTACTTAAAATTTATTAAATCTGTATAAAAATGTTACCCTACCCCACCCATTTTTACCACATGTCTGACCATTTTTCTACTTAGGGAGCCTAATTCAAAAAAATCTTAAAATTTACCCAGATGAGTGCCTGTTTTCAAAGTTTCCCAAAATTTTTTAAAAAGTATATTGGTTGATCTTGTAAAATATGAAATACTTTTACCGTATAGTTTTGATTATATTACACTTTGAAAATATCAGGTACCATATTTATTACTAGATTTAGCATAATTTAGCCAATAAATTCCTATATAAATTAAAAATTCGAAATTAAACACTTTTTTCTTTCCATATGGGACATAAGAGATACATAAATAATGTTAAAAGAAAAAAAGAAAGAAAAAAAAAGTTGACCCTTCTGGGGATTGAACCCATGGCCCTCATTTTCAATGTAGTTAACAGTAATTCTAGCCTATTTGAATACTCTTCAAAGCGGAGGTAATGCATTAGGGTGCTAATACCTTAATAGAGGTTACACGTGTTGTATTGAAATTTGAAACGTAATATTTATAACAAACAAATGTGACCGCTTTTGATATCCTTCTGATCCACCTATGAACAATTTAATTCGAGACATTTTTCATTTAAATGTTATCGGAACACCTTAACTTTCGTACACAAGCTCCTTATCGCCGCAAAACTTGCGAATTGATTTGACTGTTAAGAGCTTCTCACTGACGAATCAACTCTCAAATATCTAGTTAAACTGGTTCATTTCAATTAAAAGAAAACTGTGAATTTTAACTTTACCCTTCATATTTGCCCTGTGATTTCTGAATCATTTGATAATGAATGACAGTAATGAATGGCATGACTTCGTCATGTACCGCATTTCCAAAATTATTTTGGAAAAATGATAAATAATTAAAAGAGGCAATATCGGGATACGGTATGTAACATGCTTCTAATGCAGAATTAAAATTAAATTGAATGAAATAATGCAAATTCAAAAAAAACGGATAATATGGGACAAGACTTTTTTTCACTGAAATGAGCATGCTTATAATATTAAAAGTTTATAATAGCGTAGAGTCTAATATTAGTTTTTCAGACCGATATATTTATCAGTATTGTTCTCGTCAATGTATAATTCATCTTTATCTCCGCCGCAAACTATTCTACAAATCTTTGTAACTTTGAGTTCAGTAACGTTTTCTGTGAAATTTATTGCGTCTGGTCATGTGATGAAAAGAATGTCACTCTCGATGTCATATTTTGTTAAAAATATCAAACTCGTCTTAGTAATAATTAGCATAATTCTCGCCAAAGTCTGCTTTTTAACACAATGTATTTAATTAGTTTAATAACATTTTATCTGACAACCCAATGTGAAATCTCAAACTAGTATATATACTTCCGATACGGACAAGACACTAGAGAACTCTTTTATAATGAAAAAGTGTATCTATATAAGTCCACAGACAACACATATTACTAAATGGTCTTTATATCTATTGTTTAACCTTTAAAGGTAGTTGTTAAAATGTGTGTTTAGTATGGGAAATTATCGAAATTCTTTTAGGAAAATTTGATGACGTATTTTAGAAACGGTAACGGTAGAGTAGAATACTTATTTAAAACTTGTTTCTATAACGAATATAATTCTTGTTAAATATAAAACCAGAAGATGTTAAAGAAATGGTTTGTTGATGAAATTAAGCAAGATTGATTGATTTAAAGGGACGTTTACGGTCATGAAGAGGCACACACTACACTGTTCTAAGCAGCAAAAAAAAACATTAGTACCTGACACATTTACCTATTTATGTTACGATGTCACCTTTAATATTAAAGAAACAGACCCACAAAATAAAGACAATATTCTCAATAGGACACTAAAAAATTCATGTTACATTAATATGAATGAACACACTATATTCTCTGTCACTAGTTTCCAGTTCGTAAATGCTTTGCTTGAGATTTAAAATAGCCGTAAATAATTTAATTGCATGTTATAATCACAATATATATTTATCCTTTAAAACGATGAGTCACATTCATGTTAAACTGGAAGTACAATATATACCAGAACAGAACAGAACTTTTATATCGTAAACACATACAACACAGAATATTGTTACACTATGCATATGAAATATAACAAGACATATATCCATTAAAACTTGTTTCTATAACGAATATAATTCTTGTTAAATATAAAACAGGAAGATGTTAAAGAAATGGTTTGTCTCATTTCTTTAATCTGTTACATATATGTTGATATACTTTAAAGAAAGAAGAAAAATGCTGAAACTCAGTAGGACTTATAACCTCTTCGGGGCACTTTTGGGGAAGCACAGCTTTCACTTGTGGATTAAAAGTGTTGTTTTAGAGAGGCTGATTTATTGTGAAGTCTTACTTTTGGGACACTATTGACCTAAGTTATTGCTGAAAAGATGGGTGTTCTGCATAGCCTTAACTTAACGGTGAAAACTAGCATTTAACAGCCAATATAAATAAATGATGAAATTAAGCAAGATTGATTGATGTAAAGGGACGTTAACGTCATGAAGAGGCACACACTGCACTGTTCAAAGCAGCAAAAATAACATTAGTACCTGACGAATCAACCTATTTATGTTACGCTGTCACCTTTAATATTAAAGAAACAGACCCACAAATATAGACAATGTTCTCAATAGGACACTAAGCACAATGGTCATTGCGTTGCATGCATGTAGTGTAAAATAACCGCAAAATGGAGAACAAATTGAACAGCTAGTTTTTGACTTGTTAATCGCTATTTGTAAAAAGATACCCTTCATATGTTTTGAAACGGAAATAAAAGATTCATGTTACACACACTATATTCTCTACCACTAGTTTCGTGTTCGTAAATGCTTTGCTTAAGATTTATAATAGCTGTAAATAATTTAATTGCATTTTATGATCAATAATATTTATTTATCCTTTATAACAATGAAGCACATTTATGTCAAAGCGGAAGTAGAATATATACTAGAACAGAATAGAACTTTTATATCGTAAATTATACAACACAGAATCAATATGCATATCAAATATCACTAGACATGTGTCCAAAGGACACGAGTGCCCCCACTTTTTTGTCAATCTTATGACTCTAGGTCAAATATTTCTGGGCTACATGTGGCACAAAATGAAAACTAAAAATCTATTACTAAGTAAAGGGTACGAACTTTACAAATACTGAACAAATCCACAAGCAAACCCCAAGGTGCATAAGTACACGTGTTGGTCAACATTCTTGTAAACTTTCAGGCCTACAGGTAAAATACTTTTTGAGCTATGCATGAACAAGTTGAAAATTACAAATTTATAGAAGAAGAAGAATTTTATTTCAAAATCCACATGTAAACAACAACAGTCTGGTTTAGGCTAATAAGCCCTTGACCTGACACAAAATAAAATTACAACATTCTCAGCAATACAATACATTGCATAATACATTACAATACAATGACGGACATTGAATAATAATATTACTCACTTTCAACATATTGTTACATTCATATATTATCAAAACTATATGAGATGTCATTTACATTTAATTCATACCAATTTATAATTTCATACATATTTATCTTTTTGATTATTTGGTTTGTTACCTTGTTCTGTATGTGTTCTTTTTTTACTAAACATCAATGGTTTATAAATGTTTACTTGTTTTATCATAATATGCTCATATATAAATATTTATAATGTTTGATATTACTAACCTCCTACAAATGTAAACATAAACATATATTTAACATAATGCCTTGTATCGAAAATGAAATTACAAGACCGTTTATTTTTTACTACTAAAACTCTAAAGCATGACATGTTTTTATGTCAGATATGAATATGTCAGATTTAGACACACATACAAATATGCATTTTAGTATTTGACAAAATTGTCTTGTATCGAAAACGAAAGTACAAGACGAGTATGACGCATACAAGGGAAATAACCATGTCAATTATAATGTAAACGATAATCAAGATTTGTTTACCTTAGTTTTTACTATAATAAAAATTGTTTAACAAGAGGAAATCAAAATACTATGAAAAGAACAAGAAAAAAGAAGAAAAAAAAAGAAAACGACATAATACAACATATCGAACATTTAAAAGGTATCAAATAAAAGTTTGAAAAAATAGGAAAATGTTTTTACATGTAAAGTGGAACATATGAAAGTTCAGAAAGGACCTTTAGAATCATACAGTATATAAATATTTATAACTCTCTAAGATTGCAATGTAAATTCTTTTCTAATCTCGAAACTTTATAGACAAACATGCTAAATTTCTTTACAATTTGTACTGAATGAGAGTT